GTTGGCATAACAAACACTACTTGGTGCTACAACATGGAGGAGGAGAAAGAGAAGGAGAAGGAGAAGGACAAGAGGTGGAGATGGAGAAGGAGAAGGAGGAGGAGGAGGAGGAGGAGGAGGAGGAGGAGGAGGAGGAGGAGGAGGAGGAGGAGGAGGAGGAGGAGGAGGAGGAGAAGGAGAAGGAGAAGGAGAAGGAGAAGGAGAAGGAGGAGAAGAAGGAGGAGGAGAAGGAGAAGGAGAAGGAGGAGGAGGAGGAGAAGGAGAAGGAGAAGAAGGAGGAGAAGGAGAAGGAGAAGGAGGAGGAGAAGGAGGAGGAGAAGGAGGAGGAGAAGGAGGAGGAGGAGGAGAAGGAGAAGGAGAAGGAGAAGGAGAAGGAGAAGGAGAAGGAAACTGACTGTGGGGTCCCTGATGCTTTCTGAGCTTGGTTGTTTTCTTGCAGACATTTCATTACCCAAACTAGGTAACATCATCAGAGCTAGTAAGAAGGTGCTTGAAGAACAGAAACAAGAAAGACAACCAAGCTCAAAGAGCACCAAGGATCCTTCATTGGAACAGCATTTCCAATCTTGGGCATCTCCAGGTGGTTGGACTTCAACTTCCAGCCCTACGATTCTATGTTGTATTATAGCCACTCAATAAAAAAATGCTTCCTCTAGAATGGTTTCCTTGGCCTAGCCTACTTGGAGATGACCATGATGAAGCATACAGCCTCAGTTTCGAAAGGGATGGAATTAACTAGAATGTAAACTCATAAAACATTCCTATGCCTGTTTTACTAGTTGTCATAAAAAAGGTGGAAGGGGGAGGAAGGAAATCTGGAAGAGCAGTGCAGCAGCTGAAAGCAAAAGTACATTTCAACTCTTCTCTTTAAAAGATTGTAACTAAAATACCAGAGCTTTTGCCTGCAAATATATTTAATTGGAGAACATGAATGATGACACGCAGCCTGTGAATATGCTCAATTGGAGAATCTGATTTATGACACACCCAGGGTGGGAGGGTTTTTGAAGTTTGGCTCGAGAATCGTGATTTAATTAGAGTGATTGCTAGAATCCTGAACATAGAGATCTAAAGAAGTAATCCAAAGATCTGAAGAAGATCTTTAGCCCTAAAGATCTAAAGAAGAAATTATTTCACAAGTGTTTGATTGGCATGAGACTTACCAATCCAGGTGAAAGACATGGCAACACACCGCAGATCTAACCAACAAACCACCACAGATGATCCAAGCAAAATCTAGGTCTACATTCTTGGAAAGAAAGTAGACTAGGATTCCTACGTCAACTACAAAGAAGGCTGCCTTTGGGGAATAAGGAGAAAACTCCACCAGACCAAGGCACAAAATGTGTCTTGGAACTTCATCCTCCAGCAATCACTGGATAGCATTTTTGCCAATGAATCCAGGACCACACCCGGTGCCCTAAGGGCATTTTTACATGGGTACATGGGTGCAGCCAAATATTTTTAGATGTGCAGCAACCACCACCTCCAATACGTAAGAGAAATCTCCTGCGTGGTATGTTACACCCACGTTGCCTTCTTTAATCACCTTCGTGTACAACCTGCAAGCCAGATGTCTTCCCAGAAGGGAACTTTCAAATAAGAAAAACCAGCCAAATGGCAGCCCAACGTTGCTTGCAGATAAACCTGGTTAGACTCCCAGCCAGCCAATGATTTCAACAGGGCTTCCATGTTTTTCCTCCTAAATTTGCTCGTTTTCATCCAACGAGCAACCAATATTTTTGAACCCACCGAACAGGCTCCGTCCTTACTGCATACATCCACAACATCTATTAAAGCAGATCGGTCCATACAGATCCAAAATTAGAGGTGATATTCAGCCGGTTCTGACCAGTTCTGGAGAACCGGTAGCAGAAATTTTGAGTAGTTCGGAGAACCGGCAAATCCCACCTCTGACTGGCCCCGCCAACTCCATCTATTCTCCGCCTCCCCCTGAGTCCCAGCTGATCGGCTGGGTCTCCTTTGGTTGCCCTGCACAGGAGAACGGAGCTGGAAAGCAGGTTAGTGGGGTGGGGAGGGAATGGGATTTTGCAGTATCCTTCCCCTGCCACGCCCACCAAGCCACACCCACTGAACCGGTAGTAAAAAAAGTTGAATCCCACCATTGGGCTGAAATCCTTGACTTACAACCACAAGGGAGCCCGAAATTTATGTTGCTAAACGGGGCAGTTTTTTAAAGGGAGCTTTGCCCTGTTTTACGACCTTTCTTTGCCATTGTTGGTTAAGTGAATCGCCACAGCTGATCCATTAATAACGCTGTTGGGAAGTGCTTCTGGTTTTCCCATTGACTTTGCTTAACAAAAGGATCCTGGGACAATCGTCATAACTACGGATCGTTTGCCAAACATTCAAATTTTGATTGTGTGACTGCCGGGACGCAGCAACAGTTGTTAAGTATGAAAAATGGGCATAATTCACTTTTTTTTCCCAGTAATGTCCTAACTTCAAACAGTCACTAAATGAACTGCTGTAAGGGGAGAACTACCTTTAATTTTAAATGGCTTAAAGTATTGTGCGAATTTAGGGTCCACATGCTTGTAGTACATTGCTACAGATTGACTGACTGACTCATTCGTTCATTATATACTATAAAATCAGGATCAACTCTTCGCATCCAGATCGATAGATTTTCACCAAGATCGTCTGTACCTAACTGAGTTATTCAGAATCACCAAAAGAGAGCAAAAAAAATATCAGATGATGGAAATTACCTGTTTTATCCTGCAGATTCATTAGTCCAGGTTGGCAGGGGGCGGTAAGGATATTTTATTGCCACCATGAAAATAAAGCAAGAAATGATCCTGAAAAACAAGAAGTTTGAGAAAAGGTTTCAAACTTTTTAGTCTTTGTGTGTGTGTGTCTGTGTGTGTGTGTGTGTGTGTGTGTGTGTGTGTGTACATATTCAGCTCAATCACCAAATACCCATCGACTGCCATGTTTATACACTTTGGCAATTTTAAAATGGGTGGACTTCAACTCCCATAATTCCCCAGCCAAGGGAATTCTGGGAATCGAAGTCCGCTGATCTTGAAGTTGCCGACGTTGAGAAATACACCAATTTATAGGAATAGAAGAAACATATTAAATACAAACGTCTAAATATATTTCACAAACGGATTATCGACCTGCTTATCATCCTTATAATTGCAAGTTATATTGACGGTCGTTACAAAGGCATTATTAGCGGTTGCTGGGAAATTCTGGGAGTTGGAGCGCATGCACACACTTTTAAGGCGCCGAGGTTGAGCAAAAATGATGCATCTTTTATTTGTTTACTTTGGTTTGTTTATTTAATCCCAGCTTTATTGTTTTTGTAAATAACTCCGGGTGGTGAACAAATCCAACACACTTTCCTCCTGCTATTTTCCACAGAACAACCACCCTGTGAGGTGGGTTGGGCTGAGAGAGAGAGAGAGAGAGAGATCTAAAATCACCCAGCTGGCTTTCAGGGCTAAGGCAGGACTAGAACTCCCAGTCTCCTGGTGATTGGCTCAAAGTCACCCGGTTGGCTTTCATGCCTAAAGCAGAACTAGAACTCACCGTCTCCTGGTGATAGACCCAAAATCCCCCCAGCTGGCTTTCATACCTAGGGTGGGACTAGAACTCACCATCTCCTAGTGATTGGCCGAAAGCCAGTTGGCTTTCATGCGTAGGGTGGGACTAGAACTCAACATCTCCTAGTGATTGGCCGAAAGCCAGTTGGCTTTCATGCGTAGGGTGGGACTAGAACTCAACATCTCCTAGTGATTGGCCGAAAGCCAGTTGGCTTTCATGCGTAGGGTGGGACTAGAACTCAACATCTCCTAGTGATTGGCCGAAAGCCAGTTGGCTTTCATGCGTAGGGTGGGACTAGAACTCATCATCTCCTGGTGGTTGGCCTAAAGTCCCCAGCTGGTTTTCATGCCTAGGGTGGGACTAGAACTCACCATCTCCTGGTGGTTGGCCTAAAGTCCCCAGCTGGTTTTCATGCCTAGGGTGGGACTAGAACTCACCGTCTCCTGGTGATAGACCCAAAATCCCCCCAGCTGGTTTTCATGCCTAGGGTGGAACTAGAACTCACCGGTTCCAGGTCATTGGCCCAAAGTCAGCCAGCCAGCTTTCATGCCTAAGGCAGAACTAGAATTTACAGTCTCCCACTTCCTAGACTGGTACCTTAATCATCAGACCAAGCTGGCTCTTATAGAATGTTAGGAAGAAAAAAAAATGAGGTTTAATGTTATTAACATGATGTGGACTTTTATACAAAACTTGGAATTTCTCCTTGGAGTACAGCCTGAAAATCATTCCATGGTAGCGTGTAAAATCCCAGACTGAAAATATGCCTTGCCTGTCTGCCTTTGAAATGGTTCATTAGCAACATAATGACAGGACTAAAAACTATTATTCCACAACAATTATTGTGTAGAACTATTATTCTACCCAAATGAAGGCAAATTGCATTATTCTAAGTGGTTACGATTTAATTTGTTGTTGAAAAACCAAGAGGCAATTATGCACTCGTGTTAAAACACAACAATAATGGGAGTGTAATTCGTCTCCGTGCAAAGTCATTGGCCAAGTATGGGAGGAACAAGGCCATCTATACTGTCACACCCTCCAGGCATGCCACTCCAGCCACTTGTGGGTTCGAGACAGGAAGGAGGAGAAAATAGGCCCTTTGTGTTAAGAAGAACTTGCTGGGCAGCCACACCTCAGCTCTGGCTAG